TGAAAAAAAGAAAGTTTCATCAATCAAAGTAGCTGCTAACCTCATGGATAGTTGATTCTCCTTAGTACCTCATTTATTGCACTCCATTTTGCACTGCTTCTATTAGAGTATTCGTTTTACTACTTGTCATTTATTTCCCTGTGTGCTTCCCTTCCTAGATTGTGACTTCTTTCAGTTTTTTGGTTGTGAAAAAGGGTGATCCTCTGGCTGGAAAGCAGCAGGTGCATCATTCCTTGAATCTTGAGAGCAGGGAACAAGAATTTATTCTTATCTACTCTCTGTCATAATGCCCAAAGCCTGGCACATAAATGGCTCTCAACGGTTTATTCATTGAATTAATGATAGAGCCACTACCTATTTGAGTGTCGTGCAGGGTGAGCTGTCTTTCTAAAGAGCTGTGCTGAGATTCATACCCTGGCTTCTTTGCAGTCTGAGACGGGTAGGTTCTCGATTCAGCCGCCCCCAAAATGTGGGCATCTGTGTCATCTCTGAGATATGTCATGAGTTGCCAACCCATGCCATAGAAAATTAAGGAAAAGTGTGTTTTTTGAAAATAAACTAGTGTGATTTTATTTTTCTCTCATAGTCATAAATGCTTCATATTATTCCAAAGACTTGCAACATTTCCCTTCATTGTTTCTAAAGTCAACGGTTTTCAAGAGGCTGCTGACTTTTTCTTAAGATCCTTCCATTTTTTTGTGATAGGCTTGGGTTTTGATGTTTCAAGTTCTTCACAGGACTATCTTCTTGGGAGGTCAGGCACAGCGAGGGGTCTTTCACTCAGATGAAGGATGGGTTGATGGGGCTGGTCACTTGCAGGTCAGGTCTGAAGCCCAATTCACACTCGACTCATCACCAGTGGCTGATGTTAAGGATCAGAAAGCAATGCAGCTGGCCCATCCTGATGTGAGGATGGCTTAGAACCAGGAAAGTGTACGAACTCAGGATTCAGTGATCGTGAGAGCTTTGGTGGTAAGCTTCAAACTGGCCCATCACTGACATGTGGATAAGTTGGAAAGTTTAGAGTTAGACAAAAGAAGAAGAGAGAAGGGCTGTCAACATTGAGATTTTAAATGGTGGGCTGTCCATGGTGCATCGAATTAAAAAAAAATTTTTTTTTTAAACCTGGATAGTTTGTTCTTTCTAAAGCAGTTTGCCCTTCTCTGAACCAGTAACTTCTTTAGCTACCAATGCTTGCCAAACACTGATTTAAAGCGACTTCTTTCATGTTAACAGCATACATATGGAAGGAGTAACTTTATAGGGCATTTTTATAATTTGAGATGATCTTATTTAAGGAGGAATCTTGCAATTACCTCTTTTGCCTCAGGGGAAAAAATAGTTTTCCCCCCTTTGGTTATGAAGATAAATTGTTTTGCTTTAAATAAGGAAAAAGAAGATTAATAGGAAAGATATAAAGGAAGATAAAAAATGTTCCAGGAAAGAACAAATAACATTATTAAAGGATGAGGAGGCAGGAAAAGAAATTGGAAATAGACTAAAAGATTCACTCATCTTCCACCAAGAAAGATGACAAATTAGTAGTCTTTAGTTATAAAACTCAGAAAGGGTTAAGGTGAATGCTCATAAGTTTACCAAATCCTAGAGGATTAGGAAGAGGTTTAAAAAGAATGCACTGTTTTTCATATGAGCACATAGTTGAGGGTCTAAGAACCCCAAAAATGACCTGGGCAGCAAATATAATTTAAACGGGAGATCAAAGATGGCAGATATTTAGCATATCTATCACTATTTCTATTCTGCACCCATGACAGACATTATTAATTGATTAGACTTCTGTTTCCAACTGAACTAGATGGATGTACAGTGTGACAGAAAGTCACTTAACTACAGATGACCCTTGGGATGAAACCCTTTTGTTACCTATGTTGAGCCTTACTCCTCAAAGTGTGCTCTCCAGACTATCAGCATGGGCATCACGTGGGAGCTTATTCTGAAAACAGAAACTCAGCCCTCTTCCAGACCTACTGAATCAGAATGTGTATTTTAGCAAGAGCTCCAGTAATTCCTAAGGACAGCAAGGTTTAGGGCACCCTGGAAGATCACTGAGTGCAGGATATATTCATCAGGGTGGAAGCCCTCAAACTTCAGTATGCATCACAATCACTGACTTAAGTGCTTGTTGAACCTAGACTGGGGGGGGGCACCTCCAGAGCTTTTGGTCCAGTTGGTCGGGGTAGGGTTTTCAAACAAGTGTTCGGGTGCTGCTACTGCTACCGGTCTGGGAACCATACTTTGAGAACCACTGTCATGGAATTACTTCGGAGCATCTCTGTGAACTTTAAAGTTGAAGACTGCAAATATCTTCCCATAACTCTTAGTATATCTGTATGAACCAGAGTTCTGGGTAAGAGAGTCCTAAGGTTTAATCTAGTATAACATTTTTTATGACACTATGTACTTGAATCTAAAAGGTTCTCCTCCTGGAGGATTGGTGCTATCATCACTCACGTATGCAGTAACAATCTGGGTAGCTGTTCTGTCCATAGCATTATATGATGCTGAGAGACTCGAATGAAGGTAAAAACCGCAGTTCCTAAATTCATGAGGCTTACTCTCTGAGAATAAACATGAAATGAAGAAAGGTGGCATTAGATAGCAAAGGGCTGAGTGCTAAGTACACAGACCATGTATGATTTAATTTGAGAGAGAGGGAGAATACCTGGAATTATATATAAAACTATGTATTTCAGCCTAGCTAGAGTAGAAAGGCACTATATAGAGTGGATGGAAGATAAGGTGGAGGAGGGAGCAGGCCAGGGTTAGAAGGCACCTTCTCATTTCTTAATGCTGCTTTCAGAGGTTGTTTTAAAACTTCCAGTTTTCCTTTGGTCTGGATAATGATAAATCAATGCTATCAGCATTGTAAATCATGCTACAGGGTGGACATACAGGGAAACCCTGTTATCTTAGAGACAGAGAAAAAAGACAAACAGCTTATAAGCAGAGATGACTGGGGAGGCGAGTAGCAGTAATTTAATAACAGGGATAATAATGCCTAACATCTATGGACCCCTTACACTGACAGGTACTTATGCTTAACATGCACTATCTCATTTAATCCAAACAACAGCACGTGATATAAATGTAGTCAAACCTCCTCCTTTACTCCAAGTGAAAACCGAAGCCTTGTAAGGGTGCGTGTCTGATGAAAGAACTCGCCTAGTTTAAATCCAGGCTATTCTCCAGAGTGGGGTCTCCTCATCCATGAACCGCGAGGGTTTGGGCCTGTTTGGATCTTGCTTTCCAATTCTCATAGACCCTGCGTCAGCGAGGAACCCAAAGAGCAACTGAGAAGCGAGAAATCCTCGGACGTATTAAAGTCGAGAAACCTGTGGGGCCAGTGCGTCCAAGGCGCGGACAGGGAGGGGCTCGTACAAGAAACGCAGCAAGGGTTAGCCTGAGCCAGCCCGGGTCATGGAGCCTTCCCTGGCTTCCTCCGGCCACTCTAATGACAGAGTACGCGGTAGGTTGCAAGCGGGAGCGGACTCGGGGCGGGAGGCTTCCCTGGGTACTGTATTTGCCTATAAATACTTCAAAGAGTTAAACGAAAAGGGCAGCCTTTGAAAGCTGCAGAGGAAGCTCTTGGGAGCCCCCCCCCCCCCGCCCCCGGCCCGCCTGGAAGTGCTGGCAGAAAAGAGGAGAAATGGCTGGCGAGTCCTTAACGCAGGAGACGAGGAACAGCCCTGCCCAGTCCAGATGGGGGGCCGCAGGGCGGCGGGCGCGATTCCGGAAGATTCAAACCGTTAAGGTGACCAGAACAATTTGAAAAAAGGAAACAAACTCCCCCCCGAGTCTTGCCCGCGGGGCCCCGAGGCGGGCCTTTGCATTCGAAAGGGCATTTTTCAAAAAAGAAGGTTTCGGGGACGCGGGAGTATCGGCCCACTGGGAAGCGCGCGGCAGGAGCAGCGCCGCAGAGCAGCCACCAGCCGGCTTTGTACTTGGCGGCCAAGCGCGGCCCCAGAGTTTCGACCGCGGCCCCGGAGTTGAGGCCACGCCCCCTTTGCAGAGAGAACTGCAGGCGCTGATTGGTCCTCCACGGACCAATGGGCGCGCTGGGGCGGCCCGGGCTGTCAGCGCGCGCCGCAGCCGCGCGGGCCGCAGCCTGTCCTCCCCTGCTCGGAGCCCCGTAGCCAGCGCAGCCTCCCCGGGAAGCTGGGCCGCCGCTCGCGAGCGCAGCTCTGCCCAGCCAGCCAGCCGCGCGTCCGGGTACCCGCGCCCCACGGCCACAGCCTTCCTGCGCTTTAGTTCATGGAGCATGTGCAGACCTGCTGGCGCTAAGGTGCTATCTGTCCGGGGGACTCCTAAGCCGTGGTGACTGTCACGCCTAGAGAGACCTTTGGGGGGCCGTCGCCGCGCCTCTGCGTCGCGGGTGACACTGCGGCGCTCGAGATCGGGGCAACAGCTGCCTCTTGGTGGAGGCGTCTTGGGCTCCGTGCGTTCTCCTTCTCCATCCTCCTCTGCTCGCTCCTTCCCTCCCCCCCGCTGCTCGCTCCTACCCTCGCCCGCTCCCACCCGCAGCCTCCCGGAGCGGGAGGCGCGCGTCCCCGCCGTTCCTCTTCCAAAGGGGCCTCCTCACTTCGGAGATGCAGTGACAAGTTAATATGGGCGTCCAAGCATCGGGTTCCCAGGAGGAGAATCGCAAGAGGGAACAGCCCCTGAACGCCCAGATCCCTTGAACAGCCCGCCCAGGAGGGGCGTGAAACCCGGCTGCAGCATCAGTCCAGGTGGGACCAGCTGAGCGCCACGACCAGTCCTCTGCTCCATCCCGCACCCCGAAGGCGCGCTCGCGGGCTTGCTGCGAGCACCCCGACCCGGGTTTTTTGTTTTTTTGTTTTTTGTTTTTTTTTCCCTCCGCTGGTGGTGGGCGCCTCGCGGGCCGAGGCCCGGCGCCTGCTCTGCTACCCGCGCTGCCTTTAGCGGTTGCCTCCGCCGCCGCTGCCAGGGACGTGCTGGGAAAGCCGAAGCCCCGGGAGAAGATGCCGGCCATCCTGGTCGCCTCCAAAATGAAGTCGGGACTGCCCAAACCCGTGCACAGCGCCGCGCCCATCCTGCACGTGCCCCCAGCCCGGGCCGGCCCCCAGCCCTGCTACCTCAAGTTGGGAAGCAAGGTGGAGGTGAGCAAGACTACCTACCCTAGCCAGATCCCCCTGAAATCCCAGGGGCTGCAGGAGCCGGCGGGGGAGGGGCTCCCGCTGCGGAAGAGCGGCTTGGTGGAAAACGGGTTCGATACCCAGGTGAGAGGCGCTGTGTGCCGGGGCACTGTTCTGGGAGGGTGGGTGAATACTTCTTGGGGGGAAGGTGGCTCGGTTGGATGGGGGAAAGGGCTGCCCGGTGGGCGGAGAAGGGAGCCATTCCACTTAGGCTGGCAGATCTGGGGATGCGCGGGGAGAGTGGGCTGGCCGGTGGGTGTGGCCGGGTGCGCGAGGTTTGCCTTAAGGAGCTTTGAGAGACCCGGCTGTGGGCACGCCCGCAGTTTCCTTCTGGGGGCACGGGTGGCGTGTTTACACACACACACACCCCAAAACAAACAAACAAACAAACAAAAAAACAAAAACGGGCAGCTCTGGTAATATCAGGTCCTGCATGTTGAGACCTTGGCCTCAAGAAGGCAGTGTCTGCTGCAACGGCTGGCTGGCTGTCGGTTCTGCAGAGATTCTGTCTCTGCCAAGGAACGGTCTGAGGCCTCCTTGGGCTCGACGCCCCCAGGCCTGGCAGCAAGACCTAGGCAAAGGGGTCTGAGGGTTGCAATCAACCTGCTCCCTTCGGCTTGACGATGGCCTGCCCCTGCCCGTGCCTTGGGCCGACAGGATTCCAGGCACTGTGCTGGGACTGCCCTAAGGATTGCCCGGTGCACCGGCTGAGCCATGCAGCCGGAGACTCCTAGCGTCTGGGGTGGGGGTGGAGGTGGGGGTGGCCGCTCCAAATAGCTGCCGGAAGCTAAGCCCCTCCTTCCTGGGTAGTAGATCCCGGATCTGGTAGCCCTGGTGACTGGGTGTGGGGGTAGGGGATGGCTTGGGCTTGAAGAGAATTGGTGACTTTTACCTTTCCAGACAGAGCCTGCATCTCCCAATTCGGCTGGATGACAAGCCCTGGCCGTGCAATCTCTTTTAAGGAAATCAGCAAGGGCCAATCAGGTTCTCTTGGCCTCCTGCCCTCCCTGCTCCTCCCCCCCCCAATCTGGTAGGAGGGAGCGGGGCATGCTGTATTTTCTTGGCAGTCAGTCAGCAGGGACTTTTGGGGACAGGCTGACCTGACGGATGTGACTGTCCCAGTCAGGAGAGGCGGGAAGCCAGAGGGGGAGGTGGTTTGGGGCTGGTGTCAGGGAAGTGGCAACAGACCAGCTGACCTTGTTGGCACTTTCTTCTCTGCTGACACTGTGTCCACCTTCTCCTGGAGCTTTCTCTGATCAGAGGCTAGAACTCAACACATTGCTAGCCTTTCCGATGGAGGAACTGGAGCTGGGAGCTAATTGTAAGCAGACTTTTGGAACTCTGGGCTGGAGAAGGCCCTCAAAGCAGATTAAGCTCCCACACCAGACTGATAAGCATGCCCCTCACTGCTGCACTAGCTAAACATTTTTGGAAGCTGACAGGTTTGAGTGATGGCGTGTGGGAGGAAGGCAAGTTTTCCCCCTGTGCTCCCGGGGGCCTGTCTCTGCTAGGGTTTTGCCCTCTGTTCTCTTTTTCTGCTGTTAGCCACAGGATTGGTCCCGTAGGCTCCAAAATGAGAATGAGCTCAGGGGTACATTCTTGTGAGGTTTTCCTCTCCATCCTTGGAGGTGGGGCTTATGAGGTATGTTGGGTGGTATGTAGGAGGCCAGAGCAGGGACTCTGGGATGTGACACACACCCTTCCAGCCTGATGAGGAGGACCTGAGGAATGAGAGAGAAAGTAGACATGGGATTGTTTCTACCCAGGCAGCTGTTTTGCCTTTGCCCATTTGACCCTATATTTAACAAACGTTGTTGGAGGACTTGCAGTGGGCAGGTTCTGGAAAGGTGATTCATCACCCTCTTTTCTGAAAAAAAAAATGTTTTCCAGCTGTTGCTAAAGGGGCTGGAAGGGTCGTGGTCCCTCAAGGCTCAGTTTCCCTCTCTTGCTCTTGGCCCACCGTCCCCAGAATGCCCCCGTTGCCCCTGCCTTGCCCTCAGTGGGACCTTGTGTGCTGATTATGAGGATGGTTTAGATGGACTGCTGAGGACATTGGCTATTTCCTGATGGACTGTCCTACTTTTTACCAGCCTCCTCTTTCCTTATCCGCATTTGGGCTTCCTGGGGGCTCTTCTCTGAGGCAGGCGGCAGATCCTCTTTCTCACTGGCCCACCTTGGTATCAAAGTGGCCTTGGCAAAGGCGGTTTTCCCTTCTTTGGACAGGACTTCCTTTCACTTTAACATGGTGCCCATTCACCATCCAGGAAAGTTTCCCTATTATAGGCTTGAGGACTGTGTCTGGCTTGACTTCTGTAGTCCCTAATCCAAAACCTGGTATTTATCACTGGAAGATAGTCAGATGATGAGTTATATGGCAGATGATATCTTGGGGCCTCTGACTCTCCCTTTCGTTCAGGGAGCTTTTGGCAGAAGGCTGGGTTGTGCAGTCACTAGCAGAGGTTTTAAAGTCAGGCAGATATCTGTGCTGTCCCGTCTTTGCCACATACCAGCTGGGTGACCTAGTCAATTAACCTCTCTGGGCCTTAGTATTTCCATCTGTAAAAATGGGCATAAGCAACCATACAAATTGTAAGGATTAAGAAGAATAACATGTGAAGTGTTTAGCCCATTGTCTGGCGAATAAGGAACACTTAATAGAATTAGCTATTTATATTGCTAAACCAAGAGATAAGGCATGTTGAACCTGGATCTAATAGCCTGTAAGTGAGAAGAGGCATAGCTTATCTCTCTAGCCCTTGAAATAGGTACTAATCAGTTCACAAGCATTTACAGAGCATCTATTAGTACCAGGCATGGCCTGAAGATGAGGGAAGGGTACAGCCACTTCAGTGCCTGGCTCTTTACATATGATTTCATCCTCACAGTACCGCTTAAAAGCAGACATGACATTTTCTATAACAATAATTTTCTATAATAATAATATAATAATGGCAGTCAAATAACATAATAGTGACAAGTTAAATAATATAATGACAAATTAAAAATATGAAAATGGCAAATCAAATAATATAATCACTTTCTACATGCCAGGAATTGCTTTAAAGACTAGTACATAAAAAGCCTCTTTTGATTCTTCTGACAATCCAGTGACATAAGTGTTATTATTCTCATTTTGCTCATGAGGAAACTGAGGCAAAGACCAGGTCAGTAAGCTTGTGAGTAGCAGAAGTAGAGTTAGAACAGTCTGGTTCTGGGATCCATGCCCTTAACCTCTGTGCTCTAGAGAGATAACCACAGATTTCCAGTTTACTTGCAGGCCCCGGTAAGACCCCAGCTCTACCCGTTGAGCCAGAAGAGTGAGTGAGGCTCAGCAAGGTAGAGTACCCTGCTCCAGGTCATCCTGCTTCGGTATGATGGAACGGAGTTCAGCTCAGGCTGGGTTAGCGTCAAGGCTGGTGGTCTTCCCAGCCTTCATAGCTGCCTCCCTCCATCGTTTTACCCTGGCCGGTGCACAGAGCAAATAAGACATGGCCTGGGCCTTGGGGATTTTATAGCCTAGTTGGGAGGTGTAACTGATGTACCAAGGGCAATAGGACACAATACAGAGAGGGTTGAAAGATAGGCTAGGGGGCCTGAAGGAAGGGAAGGGCCATAATGGCTGGAGAAATCCAGATGGCCTCCTGGAGGAGGCTGGCCTTCAGATGGGCAGGACTGGCTGGGTGGGGAGAAGCGGAGGTGAGATGACCATGAGAGGGAAGGATCAGGAGCAGGGCCGTGCTGTGGTACAGAGCAGATGATTTTACCTGCCAAGGGAAGCTGCACTTTTCATGCAACAGGTAATTGGCTCTGTATCTAGTATCTTCTTTTTAAAAGGTGGTGAGAAGAACAAAAGCATCTGGCAGTTGAAGGATTGGCTTTGCCTGCTGGCTGGTGGATAAGAATTCTGCATATGCAGGCTCCTTAGGAGAAGCTGGGAGGTGGTATCCATAAAGACCTGGTTCAGACTCTTGGGAAAGTGACAGTGATTATTGTTATTAGCTTGGGGTTCAGAATAGTTAACATGGTAGTTACAGGGGAAGGGAGGCTTCTTTTATTATGCAGCAACTCTGTTCAGCCAGTGACAACCCTTTCCTCCCAAGCCGGCTCTCCATGTCCATCAAGTGTGAAAAGACCTAAGGTAGCCAGCAAACAGCTCTTAGGTGCAGCCCCATTGTCAGCTCCCCGGGCCCCTCACCTTGAACCTCTCCCCAAACCTACAGCTGGGCTCTCCCCCAACTGGGGGGCCTGTGCTCTGCAGCCACACATCCCTCCCAAATTCCCTTGCTCGTGCTGGGATACCTAGGCCTTCCCACAAGAGTGAACATTTATAGCATCTGCTCTGTTAACGTGGTGTATAAATTATGACCATATGCAAAGAATTGTTTTAGAGGCATGCTCTGCGTTAGTTCAGAAACCCTGGCCGGCTGACCTTCAGATAAGGAATGCACATGAGCTATTTGAGGAGAGGTTAGCTTATTTTTAAGAAGCAGCTGTAGGAAAAAAAAATTATATATATAAGACTTTGAAATTTCCTGTTTTTAGGAGCCTGGTGTTCAACTTGCAACTCATTTCTTTAAAAAAAAAGTAATTAGAAGTGATTGACATCCTCTGTGGCTGTTTTAGATGTTTAAAAAGAAAGAGCAGGTGAGGCGCCTGGGAAGAGAGTGCAGCTCCCAGCTTACAACCTGTTGCAACTTTGCCCCATTGTGTTTTGATTAGAATCCTTGCTCCATCATCAAAGTTGATTATGGATTTGATTAGTGCATTTTTCTGCTATTGTGTTATACCCTTTCTTCTCTTTCTCCATTCTTAGAGGGGAATGTATAGCATGGTTATCCGCCAACATGCAAGAACGTTTATATTTCGCATATTATTGCTTATTCCATGGGTTAATTTTCTGAAGACACTTTAAAGGTGGGAGGGGTGGCTTATTTAGGATATCATTATGTGTGTATATAAATACTTCTACTTCTGGATATGTGTATATACACATTTATACACACACACACATATACAAATACGTACACATGGAACAGCTTAAAGTAATGAGCACATGTAAGCGCACACACATCAAAGGCCAGGCT